GAAATTTCCAATGATATTGGACATTGTAAGAAATGATCCCAGCATTTCAAAACAATAGTGTACTAGCACAAGTTATTTTGTCTGTTACAAGTTCAGTAGTAAACATACGGGATGTTTATGAGTAGATTTTTCTTATCAGTAAAAACGATTTGCATATCATATCTGACATTTTATCTATCTTTATTTTCAAATTTCAAAAGTTTCATATAAGTAGTAGTAAAATAAAAAATAAAGTATATATTAGATCAAACGATATTGTATTGTTTCTGCTTTTGAAAAGGTCATCTTAACATTTCTAGTGGGAATTATTTGGGGTGCCAGTCATTTAACAATCTTCACAGTTTTTCAACATGGCAAAAGTGTGCTTTCTTATGTTCGTTACAGATCCAACTCCATGAAACACCACTGTTTTCAGTGAAGTAAGATTGTTGTATCCGCGACCAAATGGTGGATTTCCATCCGGTAGACTTGGAAAGGTCACCTGTTGCAATTGGTGTAAGGGAGCTAAGGTTTGGTCTAAATAGCCTTGTTGAATCTGTGCACTGCTGCTCATTCTTCCGAACATCAGAACTTCTAACAAGATTAAATCACGAAACAAGTTCGTGGGGAATGCTTCATAATCGAAGTTCATGTCCCAGTGAAGTGGAGACAAATCTAAGAGTTCCAAATTCCATAAACCCGCAAAACTATCCTTGTGGAAGTGTTTTATGCTGTTCCCTCCGACATACAGTGCTTTCAGACCCTCCAGTTGGCTAAATGCGTTCGGTGGGATCTCAGACAGACTGGTGTAGCGTAGATCCAAAACAGTTGTATTAAGTGGTATACGGTAGGTATATCCAAGGGCAGGGCACGGATTGGGCTGTAAGAGCAGTTGACAATTCCCTGTGACAAGGACTTAATGTCACAGTGACATGGCACCGGGCACCTCTGAGCCTTGAAACCTCCAGCACTAACAATGACATTCATCAAACACCACAGATACAGTAGAAAGTAACCTTTTCCTGGCATCGTGGAAATTTCAATAAACGGCATTCTCGGCGTTATGGGCTCCCTTTTTGCAAGTAAGGAATGAGACACAGGTATATTCCTGAACTGCCACTCATGCAGTCACATTCTACAATTCCCAATGAAACTCTCCTCTTAAAATAGGGCCAAATCATGGCGACGGGCGTTTTATAGGCATTTATATATATTAATGGGCTACATAAACATTTATCTTAGCTTACATACGTCATTGCTCTTCTGCTTTCGTTGTGAATTTGACTAGGATTGGTTGTAAACACGAACAGTTCACTAAATATAGTACCTTTTCTGGGCCTTTTATCCAATATGATTTCCTTCCTGGTTTTGTAGAGATCTGTTGACATTATTAAAGGAAAATTCAATAGGTTTATACAGACTTATAAAAAGCGTTTACTGTGAGGAATCAATTGCGCTCCTTTATGTTCACAAACAGAAGTCACGATCCCACGTGTTTGGAATACCGCGCCTCTTTAACATCTTGCAAAATGACGTATTTTAACATTTGCTGAAACCAGCACGCATTGTTCAAAATGAAGAATGTGAGAACAAAGATAAGGAAACCTTAGCACAAACAAAATCAATGGTGAATGTTGAAGGGAGGAGGGGTAGTGCGATTGCACCCACCGCAAGTGATTTTTGATGAAAGATATGTTACGTGTTAACGTACTCTCCACCCCTCCACCCTAGTTCATCAGAAAGCTTTTTTTTATATATACTTCTATATATTAAAATTTGTGTAATTCAAATAACTTATGCTCTCACACAACTGTGACAAATCTTCTCCCTCGACACCTGTACGTGTATAATTCTTTTGTTTGCCAACAGCCGTGGGGAATTCCCTCTTCATCCACCGAACTTTATGATTGGACAGTCTTTTTTAAGGTGATGCAACGTGAGTATATTGCCTGTTACATAAAGGCAATTTAGGAAGTTTTGAAAAGGAAGATGATTGCCTTTTGAGGTTTGCCATGTCAGGTGTAAAAATGTCAAGTTTGATTTGTTGCAACATTTTCTTTGAAATAAACACAGAAGTTAAAATTGAGGAAGTTATAAACGGAAGTAAAAATTACTGACTTCAAAAGAAATTAAAATTTATTTGAGTATTGTAAGAAAATATCACATCATTTCAAAACAGTAGTGTACTAGCACAGATTATTTTGTCTGTTACAAGTTCAGTTGCAAACATACGGGATGTTAATGAGTAGATTTTTCTTATCAGTAATACGCTTTGCATATCATATCTGACATTTTATCTATCTTTATTTTCAAATTTCAAGAGTTTCATGTTAGAAGTAGTAAAATGAAAATAAAATATATATTAGATCAAACGATATTGTATTGTTTCAGCTTTTGAAAAGGTCATCTTAAAATTTCAAGTGGAAATTATTTGGGGTGCCAGTCATTTTAAAACTATCTTGACCATATTTTTAAATATTAAAATTTTTCAATCGTATATCTATGATGATTCTAGGACATTCCCCCCCCCCCGCCCCGACATTTCCCCCAAGAAATATATCTTCGTATACAAATATAAAGTACTGTAAAAACTCTAAAGTTTAAAACATTCCATCCATTTTATTAATATTTTAATGTTATAATGCATCTTCATCAAGAAACATTATTTTATAACAAATTCCTTTTCACTGAGTACAAGTATAGAAAGTTTTATTAAATATCTAATCAAAGTATAACCACCTATCCTTCGGGTAAAGGTGATGTAAACAGATGAACAGGTAAACAGATAGTTTGTGAATATTTTCAGTGTGGTGGGTAGTGGTAAAAAAAAATCAAAGTGACAAATTAAATAATCAAAGAGATACCTGGATAAGCGAGAAGATCTGTTTACCTCACCTCAACCTAGAGATGCACGTTGATTCAAAACTTACTCAATCAAGGGGGGAATAATACAGCAATTAAAAGTAAAACAATTCATCAAAAGGTTACCTGGATGAGTGAGATCGTCCGTTCACCCCGCCTTTACCTGAAGATATAGTTTGATCAGATTTTTTAATAACATGTTCAGCACTTCTTTCCCTAAAATTTTCTGTACTTTATGTTATCTATCCTCGAGTTGTATCATCACACTTAGAAATATTCAGAAAATGGATGAAAAAATTTGAACTTTCTACTCTTTACTTTATATATATATATATATATATATATATATATATATATATATATATATATATATATATATATATATTGGGGGGATCGTCGGGGGGGGGGGTTATATAAAAGCACTGTGCTATATGACAAGCTTTCCCTGAAAAAAAAAACTTCCAGGTTTTCTGAGGTTTTCAGTAAACTTCTAGAGGTGTGCTTAGTCATCATGATGTTATCAGTAACAAGGTATCAGCAACAGTGGAAGGGTGACGTATAATACAAATGGAATATACAGGCCTCTGTATGACTAACATCAAATTGCTTATCATGTCAGACACAAACGGCACAAACTGTCGGGCGTAGATGTCTTATGCGCTTTTTTTTATTATTTTGATTACGACCTTGAGAATCCATGCGTGTACACATTATTGTTCGCCCACAGCTGTGGGGGATTCCCTCATGTACCCCTCTTCTTTATGATTGGATAGCCTTTGTTGTCATGTACGGTAGAACGGGTTTTGATACTTCGTTGAAGGTCAGGCTTATTTACCTTAGGCCCTATTTAGGTACAATTTACTTTTGAGTAAATTGCAGCATTTTTGTACTCAACACTTATGTTTTGTCCTGTGAAAGCCTGTACTTGTTAGTTCAATTACTCCCGCTACTCAATTTTTTTTCGCCCAACATATTTCTGCTACATACAAATAAACATACTTGTTGCTTATAAATAATTTTAAAAAACGAAAGAGAAAGAAGAATCTTTCGAGAAATTTTATGTTTTTAAGACAATGCATGGATTGTTTTTAACACTTCCTTCTCTCCTCTCCCATCTGGATGCAGGAAACGACAGTGACATGAGGTACCAGGAAGCCCCTACCCCCAAAAAAGCAATTCCCAATTTGTCCTGACATCCTTCAAATTTTTCTAACAACCTCGTGCACCAATTAATACATATCTGAACAAAGTTTCAAGGGCAGAAATATGCCATGTAGTTTTGGCGACATTTTCCTTCTTTTCTCCAAGCCTAGAATGTACATGTATACGAGTAATTTTATTTTAAAAAAATCTTTCTTGAAGAAGTGTCTTTAACATAATAATTTCTTTCATAAAAGATAAAAATTTCAAGTGAGAAATGTTTATATCAAATCTCTCTTAGGCTTTATTTATACTTTAAGAGCATTGCTGAGCCGCTTTAAGTTCATCGACGTACACATTCTATTTATAAAGAATATTGTATTAATAAAGAAGACTGGATACAAGAGTCTTCAGACGCAAAAAGAAAGTGGCATCACAAAATATGCATTTATTTATGGCATCTACATATCATTATTTGTTCCCTTAAAATAAATTATATTGTCACACAATTGTTACAAATATAAGGTATAATTCAAAAGATTTTTCACACAGTTAACAACTTTTCACAATAATCTCGAAATAGGATTATGTTAAACTGGGGTCGATTGATGTATCCATTATTTCACTTCTATCCAAAATTGCATAACTATTTCACAGCCAATAAATATGCAGTTATTAGTTTTAAAATCTGTCTTATAAGAGCAACAGTATTGATTATCAATTATTTTAAATTCAAAAAGTAAGCTCTTTAACCAAAATTTCTATATATTGCCTTAACATTAACAAGTAAGTTTGTTGCCTTAAAATTCTAACACTCATTTTAGTTGGTCCCCTTTTTTTGTTCACCATATTACATATACACTTCTGCACCCTTTTAAGACTTTACGTACCTCAGTAATATTTGAATTATGCGAACAGAAATTCACATATTTAAGAACAGGATCGGGAAAAAAACAACCCTTAATATTCAGGAATGGAATATATGCAATACTCATCACTATAAAACCAAATCCAATCATCTAAATGAGTTCAGTCATGTCATCTTTCTCGGGTTGCACGAGTATATTATTCTCATCAAAGATGGCGTTGGAGAGGCGTTTCCAGAACAAACGTTGTCCATCGGGGTCCTCAGTCCACTTTATATACCCTCTAGCTCTAATGTACTTTCGCAGTGATTTCGTCATAGCATCAAATGGCACAGGTTGAAACATAACCGGGATTACTGATTGGTAACCACGAGCAAGAGACATCTGAAACTCAAATTCACACCAAGGATTGAGCACATAGCTCTCAGACAGAACAAGCACTGTTTTCTTGCTGTTTTCCACGGCCTCTACGATGGCCTCGGAAAGGGAAGCGCCACCAATGAAATCTCTTTGATCTATGATGACATCAAGTTGATCCTCGTCTTCTAGATGACGCAACAGCACGTGCGTTACCCAGTAATAATCGTTGTCGTCATAGGAGGCGTACACGTGACCAGGTGGTCCAGCAATGACACCTCTCTTTCGAAAATGGCGGCGAAGAAGGAAGAAGTGGTATCTATAAAATTGGGAGAAAAACAAAAACATGATCGGTAATCATTGCAAATATTTTACTGAAATGTCGCACTAAATGACATAGAAACACTTTTATACCCATTCAAACTATTGGGATTCACATTTCTAATATAGTCCAACTCCAATAGCGACAAGGCAGTTGGTTATTGCTTATATCTATGTATTCTATGGAAAGAAAGTTTGGCATGGTAAAGGATAATGTTGATATTTGATTGTCGCTGAGGTGCAGTCGTTTCAAGGATACAAGATAGCCAAGAAAGTCTTTTGGGGTTATGGTGATTTTGTTCACTGATAAATCAAGGGTTTCTAAGTATGGGAGTTGTATTGGATGTAGACCTCCTTTAGCAATTGATAATTAGATTTCAAAGGATAAGCTACACTGTATTTGATTTTAATTATTAGTATTAATATTGATTTTAATACTACATTTTCTAGATTCTATCACTATATTTAGTATATGTTGCAAAGAGAGCACAATGAACCCTTAGTACTATATATATCTAATTATAGTTTTCCTGTGTTAAATTATTTTTGTGCGCATTTTTGATACATATTTAATCAATATAAAAAATAAACTTTTCTACATACACTCACAGGTTAACTCACTTGATATTCCAACGGTAAATGTAAGCTACTATAAGACCACAGGCAACAGCAAATATGACACCGAGAGATGCTCCCAAGGAAAGCCACAGGTTTGATGAAATGATCGTATGTGTAGAACTGTCGCATTCCCTCTCAAGTCTACTCAGGCTGCTCTCTAATCTTGTTTTAGATCCATTCACGTAGCAAGAGGAGTCGTTGGAGAATATTGTCGTCATGTTAGAATGGATAATCAAATGGAGGAATCCTAATCCGTCACAAACTTTGCAGTCCATGGGATTGTTGCTCATGTTCAAAGTTACATCCAAACTACTGGCATTCAACTTCATAATGTAGTCTAACTGCGATATTGCCAAGGCAGTTAGTTGATTAGTGCTTATATCTATGTATTCTATGGAAAGTAAGTTTGTCATGGTAAAAGATAATGTTGATATTCGATTGTCGCTGAGATCCAGCCGTTTTAAGGATACAAGATAGCCAAAAAAGTCTTTTGGTATTGTGCTGATTTTGTTCACTGATAAATCGAGGATTTCTAAATGAGGGAGTTGTAATGGATTAAGACCACCTTCAGCTATCAAAGGTCCTAAATTGTTTTCTTTCATATACAAGTATATCAGTGAGGTTAAATTATCAAAAATTGTTTTTGGAAGGAAGTTAACACCATTATAAGAAAAATCCAGAAACTCTAGCCGATCTAAGCCATAAAGTAAAGCACAAAAAGTATTTAAATGCACGTCCTGTATTCTGAGATATCTGAGCTTGTTTGGAAAGAAATAAACGGACCCCTTTATATTGTCACATGGTAAAGCATTATTAACATCTGTGGCCCACCAGCTTATAGACACGTATTCTAAATTTTCAGGCAAATTCATTTTCAAAATTGGAAGCTCTAACCGAAAATTTTGTGGGATGCTTTGAAGTGTTTTGTGCATTAAACTTACATACGAGTATTTAGCTGGTTGTAAAGGAACCTTTGGATGGCCATACCAAAAAGAGTTTGATGGAATATCTTGAGGTGTCACCAAACTCGTGCGATAAATATTGTTGTCCACTCTAAAAAGTGTTAGGTTTGTATTTAACATTAGATCACGAAATATTTTATCGAAACCTAATTCCTGTTTTCCATTTTCCAAACTAAATAAAAGGTTGTTGCCAGACAAATCTACATATTCTAAATGAGGCAGAAACTTGAAATTTTGAAGGTCAATCGCTTCTATTCTATTGCGCATTAATTCCAATGTCTTAAGTGATGTTTGTTTCAAACACTGAAAAGTATCAGCAAACACAATCCACTGTGGAACATTTGGTTCCCCATTTCGCCATCCGAATATGTCGTACATGTGAAGAACTTCAATTGAGGTATTGTTCAGGTCACATATAATCTTCTCGGCCTCTGTGACTGACACAAAGTTGGCATATTCTATGTCCAATACTTTCAGATGTGGAAATGAAGACAATGTGCCATATTCTACGGTGTCCAGTCCACAGCTAATGAAAGCTAATCGTTCGATAGGACAGTTTTTCAACATGGCAAAAGTGTGCTTTCTTATGTTCGTTACAGATCCAACTCCATGAAACACCACTGTTTTCAGTGAAGTAAGATTGTTGTATCCGCGACCAAATGGTGGATTTCCATCCGGTAGACTTGGAAAGGTCACCTGTTGCAATTGGTGTAAGGGAGCTAAGGTTTGGTCTAAATAGCCTTGTTGAATCTGTGCACTGCTGCTCATTCTTCCGAACATCAGAACTTCTAACAAGATTAAATCACGAAACAAGTTCGTGGGGAATGCTTCATAATCGAAGTTCATGTCCCAATGAAGTGGAGACAAATCTAAGAGTTCCAAATTCCATAAACCTGTAAAACTATCCTCGTGAAAGTGTTTTATGTTGTTCCCTCCGACATACAGTGCTTTCAGTCCCTCCAGTTGGTTAAATGCGTGCGGTGGGATCTCAGACAGACCGGTGTAGCGTAGATCCAGTACAGTTGTATTACGTGGTATAGGTATCTCCAGGGGCAGGGCACGGATTGGACTGTAAGAGCAGTTGAGAATCCCCTGTGACCAGGACGTAAAATCACAGTGACATGGCGCCGGGCATCTCTGAGCCTTGAAACCTCCACAACTAACAATGAAATTTACCAAACACCACAGATACAGAATAAAGTAACCTTTTCCTGGCATCGTGGACATTTCAGTTATCGGTATTCTGGGCTTCCTTTTTGCGAGTAAGGATTGAATGATTCACATACAAAAAAAAATTACTATACAGCCACTCATGCAGGCACATTCTATAATTCCCAATGAAACTCTCCTCTTAAGATAGGGCCAAATTGTGTCGACGAACTTTTTATAGGCATTTATATATTTATGGGCTACATAAACATTTATCTAAGCTTACATGTCGTGATACTCTTCTGCTTTGGTTGTGAATTTGACTAGGATTTGTTTATACACGAACAGTTAATTAAATATAGTACTTTCTCCGGGTCTTTTATCCAATGTTTTTCTTCCTGGTTTTGTAGAGATTGTTGTTGACATTATTAAAAGAAAATCCAGTAGGTTTATACAGATTTATAAAAAGCGTTTAGCGTGTAGAATCAACACCGTGTTTCCATTGCACTCCTTTATGTTCACAACCACAAGTCACGATCCCACGAGTATAGAACACTACGCCTCCCTAATATCTTGCAGAATAACATTTTTTAACATTTGCTGAAACCAGAACGCATTGATCAAAATGAAGAATGTGAGAACAAAGATAAGGAAACCTTAGAACAAAGAAAACCAATGACGAATGTTGGAGGGTGGAGGGGTAGTGCGATTGCACCCACAGCAAGTAATTTTTGATAAAAGATATGTTACGTGTAAACGTGTTCTCCACCCCTCCCCCCAAGTTCATAAGAAAGCTTTTTTTCTATATTAGTCCCCCACCTGATACGAATAAAAGCGTTTAGAAAAGCTCTTTCCTTCAATATGTGATGTGGCCAAACAATTTTCACGGTGCATGAAGATAAACAGTTAAAGAATATCCACAATAAAATTCGGCAACCGAGAGAAGCGCCAACATATAGATAATTGCGATAGTATTTATGTCAAAATATCAAAATGAATAGCCCCGCCGTTCGAGCCTTTTAACCAATCAAAGCAACGGAAAGGGGGTCACGTCACCTTCCCACCAGGCCATGCCATGTAAACAAAGCAGCATGGTCGGCTGTAGTGAAGAGTCTGAGGAGGGAGACGCGAAATCTTCGCCAAATTCTCATCTTTCGTGTTGCATGCACATAGAAGAAGGTAGCTAATTAAGAGACTCTAGATACCATCACACGTTTTCGCTGGGAAACTTTTAGAGTCGCAGCGAAACAATGGCTGAAATTTGGCAGCAGAGAAGCCGCTGCTGTTCAGTGGATCCGTACGAATTTAGATAGAGCCTTAGAGGATTCGACGATTTGGAAGCCAAACCACGATGTCACTACTCTTGCTACAGAAAGCTAACTAACAAGAAGGGGTTATCTCAGGCGGCAAAGAAGCATGAGAAAGCTGAGAAACAAGGCAGTCTTGCTGAAGAAGGTATGTCAACATATTGTAATTTGTTTTTAAGTCAGCTCCGATCGTGTGATGTTTACATCGTACGTGGCTGATGTTACATAACAATATGTGACTGATAAAAGTGATATGAAAGAAAG